AATACTCAAAATGACCGGCCGAGTCGTTACATTCCAATACCATAACACCCCATAAAAAGGTGATCATACAATCACTAGTGAGTTTTTCATATCTGAATCACAAATTCAATATCATCATTGTATCCTTTTAATATAGTGACAAATTCACATACAAAATTTAACTCATAGTATTTCTCGAGTAAGGCACACAATCATTTCAAATGAAGAAAACTTGACTCCTATACCAGGCACAAAATCATCTCAAATGAAATAATACTTGACTTCTATACAAGTGCCTTTTGAAACATCTTTAACACATATAAGAATTTATTTTTCTTTGGTATCTTACATATTCAAATACCAAAGTAAAAAATTTCAAACATAGAAGCAACTTTAACTCTCGACACCCGGCTCCCACATTTTTTAAAATTTCAAGCTAAGGAAATAATATTTTCACAACTCATAAAGAGTTCTACTTTATAAATAATATAACTTCACAAAATATCTTATCTCAAAACTAGAAAACATATATATCTAGAGATAACAAATTCATAATTAAAGATCGCCAACCTTATGAATAATATTTAAACATAAATGTTATTTATTCTCATGATCTCAAGCAATATAAACAAATTGTACTTTTGACAATATAAAATTCAACAACTACTGAAATAATGAATACCATATTGCCTCTTCATAATAGTAAAAGAAAATTTAAAACTCACGAACAGGAAAACTACAAAAGCAACTCTAAGATTATGAAATTAAAGTGTAGTGTCTCTCACAATGCAAAATGCATATACACAGTAACAAACTGCAAATCTCTGCATATTAGCAAATAATATATAATTATATATACTTCTAAAATTTGAAGGACATTATATGTATCATCTTAAGGCCAAAGCTCATTTGCCTATTATATTCTCGAGAATAAGAAGGAAAGAACATAAATTTAGGAGGTATTAGTCCAATTATGCGTACCTGGTAGTTAAATATTTTATCACACAAAAACATGTCAAGTGGAGCAGGTTACAATGTTTAAAGTCCATCAGAATCCATTTTTGAGGTTTTCCAAAAGTACGAATATAGCAACGGCGATGCAAAAAGTGTCAACGAGAATAATGTACTTAATTGGTATTCTCCATAAGAATAAAGAGTGAAATTTCCTTAAAATAGTCGGAATTTTTTTGATTGTGGAGAATAAAAATTAGCAAAGTTTGAGGCGTGTCAAGGACATTATTCTTAAGGATATTTCACTCATACAGTAAAGAATAAAATTAGGCGTATTTTCCAGGATTCAATAAGCTCTTCTAGTTATAAACTAGGAACAGAATTAGGAGAAAATTCAAGAAAGAAACCTAGCATATATGAGGAAGATGAACATTTCAAAATTTATTTTAGAAAGTGTGATTTTAGTTATCCAGATACCATGTTAATGGCTAATTAACGGCTAGGTAACAACTAGTTTTACTCTATGAAATGTAAAATAATTACTAAATAATAAATAATACAAAAATAATACCTCAAAAAAGAAAAAAATTTCTCAATCAAAATAATGCACATTCCCTTTTGAGATACCACTAATTTTTCCAACATGAAGAAAGTCCAAAATGTTATAAATAGAATTGTATTCAAGGTGAATGTCTATCTTTTAGAGAGTTTTTAGAGTTTGTTACTTTGTGGCTAAGTTACTTTTCTCCTATAAATAGAGAGGTTTTATCCCAATATAAATGATATCTCAAAATCAATAGAACTCTCTCTCTCTTTTTTGCAACATTCTTCTTTTCTTTATTGTTTTATTTCACGTTATCAGCACGAGACTCTACCATCTCAAGAAGCTATATGATAAGACTAATATATAACTTTTCTCCTCTTTTAACTACAATTGATATTATGAAATAAAAGTTCATTGCCCTTGAAAATTCGGGCAAAAACTACATGCCATGGGTGTTGGACGTTGAAATCCATTTAGATGCAATGGGCTCAGAGACGCCATTAAAGATAAAAATAAAGATTCTACCCAAGTGTTGGTTGCCTTCTATTCGATGGTTCGAGAGTATTAGTAGCTTCATATGTTGTATTATGACTTATGTGTATTATCTATTTTGGTTTTCGGGCGATTCGGGATTGATCTGGAAGAATGATTATTAACTATGAAGCTTTAAGTTGGAAGAATTGACCAAGTTTGAATTTTATGTATTTAACCTCAAATCAGAGTTTTGATGGTTTCGTTAGACTCATGTGGTAATTTTGGACTTGGGCGTATGCCCATATTTGCATTTGGATGTTCCTAGAAGATTTCAACACTATTTGGCGAAAGTTGACAATTTGGAGCTTTGGGAAAGTTCATAGATTTGACTGGGAGTTGACCTTGATGATATCGGGTTCAGATTGTTGTTTTGGGAGTTGGAATAGGTTTGTTATGTCATTTTGGACTTGTGTGAAAAATTTGAAGTCATTTCGAGTTGATTTGATGAGGTTCGACACGAGTTTTGGAAGTTGAAAATTCAAAAGTTCATCAAGTTTGATTTGAGGTGCAATTCGTAGTTTTGATACTGTTATATGTGATTTGAGACCTCAAGTAGGTCTGTGTTATATTTTGGGACTTGTTGGTATGTTCGGACGGGATCTCGAGGGGTTTGGATGAATTTTGGGTGGGTTTCAGACCATTTTGGGCCATGTTGGTATTGCTGGTTTTTGTTGTTACATGATGCCTTTGGTGTTCTTCACGATCGCGAAGGTCCAACCGTGATCACAAAATGTGTTTTTAGTGTGTTGTAGATTTGTTCTTCGCGGAAGCGATATGTGGAACGCATTCGCAAAAGGGTAAAATAATAGTTATTCGCGTTCACAACTTGGGTCATGTGTTTGCGATGAGAGCTAGGAGCTGGGAGTCGGAGGAATTGTCTACATGTTCGTGATAGGGAGTCCGCGTTCCCAAAGTATAGTCTGAGTTGTGCATCGTATTCACGAGGTCTTGGATGGGAACATGAAGGGTTATATAAGTACTCTATCTGGACCCTTGTGCTATTTTATCACAGTTTGAGTTGTGGAGCTTGACTTTGTGTGATTTTCACCACTTGGATTGGGGTAAGACTTTTTTACTCGGTTTTGATTATATTCCATAATTCTATCTTCGATTTTGGCTTTTGATTGATGAATTTTAAAGAGAAATTTGGGGGGGTTAATCTAAACTTTCCTAAAGTGAATTATTGAGATTTGAACATCGATTTGGAGTCGAATTAGAGTGAAATTAGTATGGTTGGACTCGTAATTGAATGGGTTATCAGAATTTGTGAGTTTTGTGAGGTTCTGAGGTGGGGGCCCAGGTTTGACTTTTTAGTTGACTTTGAGTAATTGATTAAAGATTCGATCTTTATCGTTTGGGTTTGTTAATATGAAATTATTTGATATTTTGAGTTGTTTTGGGTTAATTCGCACGAGATAACATTTCTGAAGTATTTTTGGGCTTGCTCGATATTTGCTTTGGCTTGCTTGAGGTAAGTATAATATCTAAACTTGATTGAGGCATTAGTTGCCTAAGTTATTTGTGATAGCTACATGATATGGGTGCGCATAAGTGTGGGGGTTGAGCCCATGTGCGAGCACCAGAATATTTATCCATGAGATATTTTTTGCTCTCCTTTTAATAATATATAGATGGTTCTCTTATACACGTCTTCTATTATTAATCTTTCTTCGTTGAATATTTTTTTAATTTATATGTTATCTTCATCAATGACATTATCTAGATATTTACAAGTCGGACTTTTTGGGTTGAACAATGCACCGATGTGTAAAGGAAAATTTTGTCGGAAAAAGGTCATTTTTGCGACCATTATGCGGTTGCAGAATCACTCTACGAACCGCATAATGGTCGCAAAGTGGTTCGGGAGAGGGGCAAGATTCGAGGAAAATCTGCGGTGCACTATGCGACCGCAAACTTGTTTTGCGATGCGTTATGCGACCGCAGAAAAGTATGCGGACCGCATAATGACCGCAGACCGGGTCAGTAACGCCTAGCTTTGGAGGCCAAATTATGCGATGGATTTGTGTAAAACATGATAAAGTGTTTAAGAAATCAAGGTTGAATTATTTGTATTTGAACAAAGTTATCCATCATAGAGGTGTTTGTAATCTTCAAGGATAATTATTACGATAATTATTACTAAGGGTAAAAAAAAAAATAATAATTAATTTTGTCTTAAACTTCTAAAATAATAAATAATTTAAGACAATTATTTTTAGTAACCACACGTAATACTATGAGACGAAGGAAGTAAATCATTAAGCTATCAAAAATATCTAAATTGCTTTCATTCTTGGCCAACAAGTCTGCAACTCCTCACTTTAAGCAATAGATACCTATAGTCACATCAAATATTAATAATAACAATCATTGTTAATTAGAAAGCATATTTATTCCTTCCATATGTATAAGCTTAAGATCCGGCTTAATTTAACAGTTAACACTTTTTAGTTTCTCCGCACAGGCGTGCCAACTAAGCACCCGTTTGCCTATAAATTTTGACAAAATAAGTTTGAATTTTATTTGTCAAATATATGTTTTATTATATATTTTACCAATATTTTGGTAAAATTCCAAATCTCAAAACCGACTCAATCCCTAGTTTTGGGCAAAAATATCACTATTATATTTTTTAAAAATTATCCCAAACTTTTGTATTTTATAAAAGAGCTCACCATTTATTATTTTGTAATAATGTTGCATCGTCTTCTCGGTCACCTGATAGTGTATCATGTAGTTTATTATAAAAATAATAATTTTGTATTAAATTTATTTATGTTCAACGTTATGATTTGTGATAATATAATGAATATTATTGATAATAATAACGTTGAATATTTATGATAATTTTTAGAATTTGTGAGTATAAGTCATGTTTAATATTTTTTAAAATTATTTTGAAAAATATATTTTAAAAATTGATGCCGAAACAAAATATATTTTCATTCTCAAACAACAAGCGCCAAATAACAAATATGGTAATTTATGGCCAATCATCAAAGTTCTAAGATCTGTTTCAAGCTCTCACTGAAGTTCTGTTTCAAACTCTCCTTTGTACGCTGAAAATACTACTGTCCGGTCGCCCCCTTTCTGACCGGCGACCGCTGCTCAAGCCATAAGCGGTGGCGTCACAGGTGATTTTCGATCCTCGTTCTAGGTTTAAAGTATTACCCTTCACACCTTCTCTCACAAATCCAATTTACACAACATAACTGCCACCTTTCTTGGTCTTAATCACCACCTCAGCTGCATATCTCTATGGTCAGTTCAGAATGATGACTAGAAAGCAATTAACGAATCTCTGCATTTATTTTCCAGAACCCTTTAATACCCAAAATCGAATTTTTATCACACACTTTTCAGCAGCAGCTACACTTCACTCATCAGATACACAAAAATTGGATACCCAATTAAGGTCCCTTTGTGAAAACCCTAAAAAACCCCAATTAGTTAATGCATTTGCACTTTTTAACCAAAATCTTGATTTGGGTCAAATCCCATCAGAGTCAACTTGCAATTTTCTTGTTGTAACTTTTGCAAAGAATAAGGAGTACAATCTTGCTTTAATGGTGTACCATGAAATGAGAAAAGTTCAAGTCTTGCCTTGGTTTTTATCATTAGCTGCTTTGATTGAATCTTTTGTGCATTTTCAAAAGCCAAGATTGGCAATTGGTGTATTGGGGTTGATTTTCAAGAATGGTTATAAGGTTAATGTGTATATTGTTAATGTGATATTGAAGGGTCTATGTGAAAATGGTATGGTTGTTAAGGCTATTGAGTTTGTTTGTAGTTTGGATAAGAAAGCGGTAATGCCCGATGTAGTTAGTTTAAACACCCTCGTGAGAGGACTTTGTAAAGAGAAGAAAATAGAGGAGGCTCTGGATTTGAGGTTTAGTATGGAAAATGTGGTTAGTTGTGGTCCAAACTCGTATACATATAGCATGTTGATGGAGGGTCTTTGTTCCGAGGGTAGATTGGACGACGCGATGGAGTTGTTGGAAGAGATGAGAACGAAGGGTTTGGAAGCTGATGTTGTCGTGTACACTACACTTATAAATGGGCTTTGCAACAAAGGGTATGTTAGTAGAGGGAAAGAACTTTTGAATGAGATGTTGGAGAAAGGAATTTCTCCGAGCGTAGTCACTTATTCGTGCTTAATTAATGGATTTTGTAAGCAGGGCAAATTGAAAGAAAGTACAATGTTGTATGATGATATGTTGAACAGGGGAATCCAGCCCGACATTTTTATGTTTGCGGGTATGATTGGTGCGCTCTGCACTAAGGGGAAGGCTAAAAAAGCAATGGAATTGTTCAATTTGATTCTTGATAGGGGTGAGCAGCCCGGAAATATAACTTACAATATTCTTGTTAGTGCACTATGCAAGGAAGGATTATTGGCCGATGCTTTTCGCATTTTAAAGGTGATGATAGAGAAAGGCAAGACACCCGATTTGGTCACTTACAATACACTACTAAAAGGACTTTGTGAAAGTGGGAAAGTAGATGATGCAATGACACTTTTCGAATCGATGTTGGGTGACAAGACTTATGTCCAGCCGAACGTTATTACAATGAACGTACTGATATGCGGACTTTGCCGAGACGGCCAGCTTGATAAGGCTGCAAAAATTCATAACGAGATGGTTGAGAACAAGAGTCTAGCTGATATCGGAACCTTTACTGTACTTATTGGAGCTTACTTAGAGGCAAACAATGTTGTCAAAGCTTTGGAACTCTGGAAGCAGCTAAATCAATTGAATTTTATTCCCGATTCAATAACCTATAACACTATAATTGATGGATTTTGCAAGCTAAATGTGCTCAATATAGCAAAAGGTTTGTTTCTTAGATTTAGAAAGAATGGATATCATCCGACTGCTTTTGACTACAACTCATTGATGGATGCCTTGTGCAAAGAGGGTAGCTTGGAGCAAGCGACGGGATTGTTTAAAGAGATGTTAGATGCAAATTGTGAACCCGATATAGTCTCGTACAATATTATCATTCGTTCGACTCTCGAAGCAGGGAATTTGCAATCAGCTAAGGAGTTGCTTATTGGTATGAATAGGAGGGGTTTGAATCCTGATGTTTTCACTTTCTCCATTTTAATAAATAGGTTTTCGAAGCTAGGACAATTGGAGGAGGCGAAAAAGTTATTTGAGATAATGGATGCTTCTGGCTTGACAGACATTACTGTGTATGATTGTTTACTCAAGGGTTTTAGTTTGAATGGTCAAACAGGAGAAATTGTTGATTTGCTCCACAAAATGGCTGCTAAGGGTATTGAGCTAGACTCAAGAATTACTTCAACTATCTTGGAATGTCTTTGTAATTTTTCTGAAGATATTAATGTGGAGGAACTGTTGCCAAAATTTTCACAGAAAATCTCAGAAGGATTTAGCATTCCCTGTAGTGAATTGTTGATGAAGCTTCACAAGAGTATCCCCAAGCTTCAGTTAGATTCTGCTCAGTAATATAATCTCACATGCTTCTGGCAGCTGTTGAGCGATCTTTCTTTCCCTCCATCATCGAATTTCGATGTTTTGCCTTCTTCACCTTTACATTAACGTTTCCTTCACAGCAAGAGTCCTCGAACCATAACCTTAATTCTCTCATTATTGTCGCATTAGCAGGTATGTTTCTCACCTAAGTTGGCTGAGTTTCTTGTGGTATATCTTGTATAAATTCTGTGAGTCTTGAAGGGTTTCAGTTTAGACTACCTAAGAGTTTTTACACTTGAATAATTGAGATCGTTACTTCTTTGTTGAGATATTGTTGCACTGCATGACCTGAGTTATGAAATCGACATACTTGTGGCTTGAAGTTGGGTGTGTGTGTTTCAAACTTCTTGCTGGTGTGATGCTTTTGTTGTGAATGAATCTTGAGTGAATAATTGTGCTAATATAATGGCTGGAAATTACTTTGTTGTCTTTGAATATTCATTCTTGACCGGGTCTTCGTGTAAAATTCGGGAGCTCTTTTGTGCTTGTCTAAACTGATTATGAAACAAATGAATGGAAACAAGTGAAGTCATATGCCTTTATAATGGACAAACCTGGACTCATCAATTATGCATTTCGCAGAACTTTTCTGCTTTTTCGCAGAATTTATTCCCATAATCTGTCCTTCTGGAATTTTTATTATGCGACTTCCCTAGGAGTTCTGCAAATCGTAGACTCAGTTACTTTTCATGTGCTTACGTTTTCCTTCCGCAGATATATTCTGCAATTTTTGCTATCCTGATTCCCTACCTGCACTACTCTGTTTCTGCATGTCTTAAGTTTTCTTTCTTTGTTTTAGTTACTCTACTTCTGCACATATTTGAGTCTTCCTTTGTTTAGTTAACTTATTACAATGTCCTTCAAATAGCTAATATAGTGTTATTCATAGTACTTATTTATTTCTTTTGCTTTAGTTAGTACTTAGTATAGGAGTGTATCCAGTGTCTAAAATCTCCAATCTCCCCTCTTGAATCTCATGTTTCTAGAATTCAACCTAATTCAAGTATATGTATCACATAGTTTCAAGGAATTATTGTAACCTCTATGATTTGGGTTGAATTCGGTCCGAAAAGAAATCACCCACGAGTTCCTAAAATTGAAAAATATCCAATCTGATTTCGTAATAGCAGATATTTATGCTTCGGCATTTCCCTCATTGCGATTGTGAACCACCTACCACGATCCCGGTCCAAGCTCAACCTACATCATCGCATTCTCGGGCTATCCTTCACGATCACGAAGATCATTTGACCTTTCATTCAACTCCCCGCTAACACATTGTGATCGCGGTCATGGCTTCGCGTTCGTGGAGGGTCAATATAGTTGACTACTGCTTTCATCGCTAGTTGGTCGCGATCGCGGAGAACAAGTCTCCGTAACTAGTCAACCCAGCTTACCTCTTCGCTTTCGCGGTGCCTGGCTTGCGATGGCAAACACCAGACACCAAAAATTTCAGCAACAGCTGAAAATTGAAATGGTTCAACCCGAACCATACCAACAAGTTCCAAAACATAATTCCAGCTTATACAATGTTTCAAAACATGAATTGGAACAGAGATACTCAAAATGTGGGGTCGGGTTGTCACAGTCTCCCTCCCCTATCGTCACACCTAAGACATGTGCTTTCCTTCATATGCTTTCTGGTATTTGTATATTCATATTATGAATATCTTGTTTCCTCTAGCACCTACCGAACGATTTTTCTTGGCACTCTATCACATGCTTTTAGCTCTGAATATCATGTGGAGATTCTTCCTTTTTTGCTTATAAATATCCACCAAATAACAAAAGTATAACCTCTATTTTTGGATTTATTAGGTATAAATTCAAACTGGTCTCTAACACCTTTATAGTGTTCATAACAATGTTGTGATAGGCGCTCGCCTCAATGCTTAAATCGTGAACCGAGGCAAAGCATACATTTGTCGCCTTTTTGCTCTGAGGCGAGGCGATATCTGAAAAGTGAACAAGATGTAATGTGGCGACGATGAGGCAACGAGGCATTGAGAAGCGTCCTTTAAAAAAAAAAAAAGAGAAGAACTTAAAAACACAACATCTAGGGTTTATTGGTCAGACTCAGACCCCTGTGCAGCTCTTCTTCTATTCTTCCTCTTTCAATCGCAACAGCTAGGGTTAAGCCGTTCAGGTACTTGCTTCTCTTTTTCTGGCAGCATCTCTCTTTTTTCCGTAGCAACCTCTGTGTTCTCTTCGTCCTCTGTTTTCTCTTCTGTTTTTTGGAGTTTTTTGCTTCCCCCAACCTGCATTTTTTTCCAGTTTTAGTGTTCAATTTATTGCATAATAACTTAATTATTTTTTCCTATAAATAGCATATTCAATGACATCATCTGATGGTAGCAAAAAGAATGACATAGCTTGGAATTATGCTAAGAATAGATGTTGCTTCGTTTATAAGTTGGTTTTTGAATTTGCTTGTCTTATGAATAAATAGACTATCTAGTTCAGACTTTTAGTATCTACTATCTGCTTTTAGTTTTGGAATTGAAATATTTGCTAATATGTTATTGCGATTGAGTTTTTGGTTATTTATATGTGCAAATTTAATAGTTTAATTTTTTTGTATTAATTGGCGCTTCACTTCGAAAAGGTGAGCGCTTTGCTTCTCGCCTTAGTGAAGCGGGTCATCGCTTTTTGTCGCCTCTCGGTCTCCAAAACAATGGTTCATAAGTTTATGCTCAATCATTCTTTCCCAAATTTCATCGCATTACTCATAATTTAGTACAACAACTATCATTATTAAAAAAAATTAGTACAACAATTGTTCACACAACTAATCCTCTTTCCTTGAAAAAGCACATTACTTCCTCAATACCTTAGGCATTGTCCTCAGTTTGGGTTGCAACTCAGAACTATATATTTTTTTCTGAGCTAGAAAAAAGACTCATATTCTTTAGCTCAAAACTTTCGTACTCAAAATTATGATTTAAACAACAACAACAACAACCTAGTGAAATCCCACAAGTGGGGCCTGGGGAGGGTAGTGAGTATGCGGACCTTACCTCTACCCTAGGAAGTAAAAATTATGATTTAAAATTAACAGGAAATAATTTCTTTAACTTTTAAAATCCTGCTAAATAATTTCAAATCAACAAGAACAACTGATTTAGACAAAAAAAGAAGAAGCTAAAAGTGTCCTTTTCTAGAAATTCCGCAAGCTGCCTAAGTGAAATTGTGCACGTGAATTGCTATCATGTATTTGCAATTACAGCAAGGATTGTATTATACTTGATATTTTCATGAAACAATTACATGGAAGTACACGTGGGGTACTTCCCCAACCAATTTTAGCCTATATTATTTTTCTTACATAATTTTGCCCATCTTATATATTATTTGAAATTTCTTTTCACCTATTAACAAGGTATTCAGGCTCTTAAGAAGATCTTTGTCAGAAACTGATTTGAGAGTGAAATTTATGTTTATCTACACAGATTTAAACATTGTTGGGTGAATCAAAGTAAAAAAATTAAAAACTCCATTGTTGGGTTTTTTAAAAGCTTGAAAACTCATAAATAGGTTTTGTGATTTGTTTGATGATTGGAGTTCGTTGGGGATGTCATTTGGAAGCCGTGGTTAAAATTTGAAGTTATTCGGTGAAGATTTAAGCTATTTCGTGGTGCTTTTCGTGAATTGAAGTTCGTAGGAGACAAAACCCAGTTTTTGTATGCAACATTATAATAAGTGTATAATGTTGTATACCAGGTGTATAAGCACTGTTGCAAAAAAAGGGCTATGCAGATCTAAACTTAAAAACATGGCTATGTAGGTGCAATGTGGTGTGTTGGGTTGTATTTTTTTGCAAATTTCTCTATTTATATTCATTCCTTATCTTATCTTGCTTCAATGTTTTACATATCTAGAGAAGTGAGCTTAGACCGGTGAATCAGAAGTTCTTATATTCTTGTATGCATTGCCCTCACATAATCACCTGTCTATCTAAATCTAAAGATAATGACAGTTCAAGTTATATTGTGCCAATCAAGAAGTTGCCAATTAATCATCCCCTGATAATTGAAGCAGTCTGATTAACTTCAATGGGATGAATTTGCAGCGAGCAAGTTCAATGTTGAAAGCGGAGGATCATATGGCATCAACAATGAAATTGCACGTCATCTAATGATAATCAATGTAAATCAACTTCAAGGGAATGAATTTGCAGCCAGCAAGTTCAGTTTCGCAGAGGATCACGTGGCATCAACGATGAAATTGCACGTCATTGAATGATAATCAATATAAATCAACTTCAAGTAGATGAATTTCAGAGGTAAGGTTCTTATTGAACAAAATTGAAGTATTCTTTAGCTTCCTTGAATATCTTTGTGGAAGTGGAATTTTGAGCTTACTGACCAAAGCTCACGTTATTCATTGCCACTAGAGTTTGAACATCCGTCTAGATTCTGTCGAAAACTCTGGCAACAACTGGTTAGATATGTCCTGCATGATGAAATTGATGATAATTCGAAAAAAAAGATTTTGAACTTTGAGTGGTTGGAAATTCGGAATATGAAAAAGCTTGAGGCTGAGTTTGAAGCACTAGGGAAACCAGCCAGCTGTGACTTTTTAGGATTATATGGGATGAAAGGAATAGGATTTCTTTAGGGACTAAGGATAGCTTAAGGAATTTAAAGTAACTCCCCTTTTTTTGGGATAACCGTGGTATCCGAGCCAGCTTGCGCACACCTCGACTAATTTCACGGGATACCTGTTATCTCCCACTAAGCAACAGGTACCAAGTAATTCTATCCACCAAGGCTTGGACAAATGGGAAGAAATCATCTTGTGTTTTTGCCTCCGCTAGGATCAGCGGATTTGAACCTGAGACCTCATGGCTCTTAATCCACTTTATTGACCACTAAGCCACACCCTTGGGTACATAAAGTAACCCCCTTCTCGTTTCATTTCACTACTGATGTAAAGGTAGAATTTTTTTTGTATGGGAAGTTGGGTAAGCTTGGTAAGATTTCATGAATAGTTTGACTTTGTGCACACATAGTGTCTGCTACATATTCTTTCAGTGCCATTGGCTGAATTAATCAAATAATTTAAAGATTTATCAAAACATATTAATAACGAAGAATGCTTGATAGGAGTGCATTGTGGACAGAGTTACTCAGTACTTGTATTGGTCGGAGATCACAGGTATCCAGTGAATCCATCGAGATGCACGCAAACTGATCCAAATATCATTGTTCTGTTATCAAAAAAGGGAAAAGCCACTTTTGCTTCCAACCTACAAACCACCAGTTCGAAGAATCACAGTGGGTAAGCTGGGGATCCCTAGCAGCAGGGGGAATGGGGATAATAAGTTGTATTTTAGCAGCAGTGGTCAACTATTATTTTCTGATTTTGTAACCTTGTTGTGTTGTCTTGAATCAAAGTAGGCTATAAATTCAATGAATTATTTTGTTCTTTTGGAATGAAAAACAGACAAGAAATTGTCTCAAATATATTTCTTCTTTTGGCAGCCAAGAGTGTGGCATAGCATCAATGAAATGTGCGAAAACTATGGGAGACCAGGATTCAAATTCCAGCGGCGGAGAGGAAAAGAAAATGCTAGGTATTTCTTCTCATTTGTTTAAGCGTTGATGGACAAAGTTAAGCATGTTTCTGTGTTGATGGGAGATGCCATATACTCGTCGAGATGTGGACAAGCTGGCTCGGACGCTGTTGTTACAGGAAAAAAGTATATTTCTTCTTCCGTGTGTTAATTTATTTGCATATATTTACATCTCTAGAGTTTAGGTATAAAACGAAGTACTAACAAACACAATTGGAGTGAATGAATATGATGTTTACACCGAACAATATCCAAAAGATAACGGATTAAAATGAACTTTTAAAGCCTACTTTCTATATTGCAGAATTATCGATACATATATACTTCTGAAAGACCTCCATTCTTTTCAGATCAAAGCTTTAACCAAACTGTGTTTGGCATTAGAAGATCCTATCAACCCTCAAATCTCAACATAGCCATGACTTTTACAATCTATTCTTTGTAAATGTGTTTGTGTGTGTGTGTTTATCTTCTTAATATCATAGTTAATATACAAAGTCTCATGAATGGATCTTGAAATTTTTACTATGTAATAGTTTGGTTTTCTCTACAACAAAGACAATTAACATAATTGTCTTTCATTCTTTTGAGACATTTTTCATTAATTGATGATGAAAATTTATGCAACAAATGAATCCCTTCTTTTCTTTGGGTTCATTGTTGCTGCCTCTGGATTTCCTTTCTTCATCATAGCTGCAAACTCATCATAATTTATCCGACCGTCCTACAAAAACCAAAAAATATTGATTGTTGAACTTTTTATATATTACAATAACAACAACAAACTCACTGTAATTTCACACGTGGGGTCTGTGGAGGGTATGTGCGCGTAGAGGACTAGAGGATGTTCTGATAGACCCTCGGCTCGGGAAAAGCATAGTCAAACCTTTTAAATATTCAAAAAGAAAAAGAGAGAATGTGGCATGTGTATATTTAGTTGTTTTGACTTACATGATCAGTGTCAACTTCATTAATGATTTCCCTCAAATCATTTTCGTCATTCATACCAAATTCTCGTAGAGCTTGCTCTAGCTCTTCTCTTGATATATATCTGAAGAAAAAATAACAAGAACATATTAAGTAAGGTGGAATACTATCCACAACAACATTAAAACTCAATCTAGGGAAATAAAGAGAAAAAAGATTTAATTGCTCCCTACTTTAGTAGTTAGGAACGAACCAAATTTTGAAAATGAAAGAGTAAACGAGAAAAATGTAAAATAGAAAAGTTATATTCCCCAACTTAATTATCAGGTTTTCACTAATTTTTTTCTCTTTTATTTTGGTTTTTCCTTTTCCCCCCCNGAAGAAATAAAGCTATCAATAGCCTTTTTATCTACTATGCCTTTTATCACTTCAGCAAAAAGTTTATTATAAATAGCCAGTCAGATTTTATTTATTATTTTTAGCCGGTATATATAAATTATACATTAATTATCATATTTATACACAAATTATATATGAATTATACATTTGTCGACTACTTTTAATTTAAGCACTTTAGTGGACGACTATTTGGGTTGATTCTTCAAATATTGTGTCATTGTATGACAGTTTTGGATTTCAAAAAGTTTGGAAAAAAACACATTTGATAAAATCACTATTGAAGATAATAGAGGTTGTTGGGTATATGTATCATCTCTATTCATTCCTATACTAAGAAAACTTTCCTTTATCTCAAATAAAAAATGAATAAGCCCTGAATTTGAAAAAAATCTGAATTATGACGGCTTAAATTGGATCTTAAAAATGGCTTATTTTTCTTTTCTGAAAAAAGAAAAAAGATGGTTTATTTTGTGAAAGTATTATTCCCCGAATAAAAAACGGAGTTTGTGCTTGTGAAAATTTTCGAACAATCAGAGATTAAAAGAGAAGACTCAAAATTAAGCAACCAAATACAAGAACAACGGTTGTTTTGAGTGAATGGATACTATGAGATAGAACGAGAAAAAATTGACTGAAAATTAAGTTTGTAGAACTGTTGGTGGGAGGTAGCAGATGTTCCGTGAAATTAGTCGAGGTACACGCAAACTGAACTGGACACCACGATTATTTAAAAAAAAAGAAGAACTTGTAGAACTTACAGCTTCCATTAACTGTTTAATCTCATAATCTGATAGTTTAGTCCCTTGTTTGGCTAATCCTTGCTTTAATTCCTCAATTGTAATTGATCCACTGTTATCAGCATCCATGTTTTTGAACATTTGCTTTAATCCCATAATTTCTTCCTCTGAAAGGCACCCTGCAATAACCTGAAAAAATCTCCCTAAAGTAATGAGTTTGTTTACCTTTAAATTTATTAACATGAAATGTACTTTTAAATCCATAAGAATATTTCTCAAAGGTCAATACTAACAACAAGAGTTTAACTTCTATATACTGACAGGATAAAAGAACTTTTGCGTTATTAGATCACCTAAAAGATAATTAAGGTAACTGTTCATAAGAAGTGGACTAGTTATCTGGAATATAAGACAAACAATTTACTGTAACAGGTTAAATTATACTGAACGTGTAAAAATTCTTTACCCGAAGAGCAACTTTCTTAAACTTGTTCATAGCTCTGAATTGTTTGAGCCTATGTAATACAGCATTGTCCAGTGGTGTATCTGGTGCTTCTCCATCCTCCTTGATCCATGAATGATCTTAATACATAACAATTAAAAATGTTAGAAAATAAGAGTTATATACACTGACAGTGAAGTGAACGAGTTTTTACAAATTGGTGTAATGTTTTCATTTTTAGTAGACACCATTTAATGCTTATCATAGAACTTTATCAGTAATTACCTTATATAAATGACTTGATTATATAAATAATCTTTTATATATCATCAGTGCATGGGACATAAGTTCTTTGATTATATAATACTTGAAAGAGTTTAGATTGTATGAAGGGGAGCTTGGAGTAAAGGTAAAGTTATTTCCGGCCGAGCCGTGGAAACAGTCAATAATGCTTGTATTAGGATAAACTGTCTATATCACACCCTTTGGGGTGCAACACTTTTTCGGATCCTGCATGAAAACATGATACTTTGTGCACGAGGCTGTCCCCTTTTTTTAGTTTAAATTGTATGAACTGATGTTGCAAACAAATATTTATACGATTAGATCACTTATTGCGAGTGTAAATAACTTACTGAGGACTTGCATAGCTGTTAATCTCTGCTTGGGATCTATTGTCAACATCTTCCTGACAAGGTCTTTGGCTCCACCGGAAATTGAAGGCCATGGATCACTTGAAAAATCAATATGTCCCCGCAATATTGCATTGAATATTCCATTTTCATTTTCTGAAAAAAATAAAAGAGATTTAATTGTTCAACGAATTTAACCTATGCCTAGAGTGACACAATAAGATTTGTTATATTACCTACAATAAACTAGCAGCTCGATAATGCACTAAACTCTTACTATGCACATGTTAGAAAAAAGGCCGGATCACATTGGGTCCATTACGCAGTTTCACCTTAATTTTTATTTTATTTTCACTCGTATCTTATTATTTCAGCGCAAAAGAAAAATGATGGAAAAAGGTAAATGGGGAGGTACTTAGCCACACCCGGTGTTTACACGAACCATGAAAGTTCACCTTGGAAGTTGTAAATTAAAGTGATCATATATATCACTTAATCATGATTAACTAATAAATATACATATAAAATACACATATCATGCATTTATTGATTTAGTATAAACATGGGATATTTAGATGCGGATAATTTGACCTTTAAGTCTTATATGTGTGATTTACCTGCCCAGAAAGGAGGAACTCCACAGAGAAGAATGTATAACATAACCCCAATACTCCATATATCAACTTCTGGTCCATATCTTCTTTTCAAGACTTCAGGTGCAATGTAATATGCACTACCCACAATGTCTTTAAATACATCTCCTGCAGAAAATATAACAAATATATGACAATCACTATAGTTTAATTAGTGCCGGCGCCAAAAATTTTACTAAGAGGTATCAAAAAATAAAGAAGTTAAATACACGAAGAAGCTAAGGGATTGTCAACACATAGTATATATACATGAAAATAATTTTTTTTACCTAGTGTAATTTTCGCGCGAAGGGGTGTCAATATGAAACCCCTTAGCATAAAGTGGTATATGACGCCCCTTAGCATAAGGTGGCTCCGCCACTGTGTTCAATGGTAAAAACTTAACAGTTTACCAATCAAATTTAAATCCAGAATTCGTCTTTGGACAGAGTTACAAGATGCATGTGTTAGTAGGAGGTAACAAGCGCGATAAAATAGTCGAGTATGCGTAAGCTGGCCCTAGCACCACCATTATTTAAAAAAAAGTAAAAGTTTAGTTATAGATTTTAATACCTTGCTTGTAGAATACTGAAAGGCCAAAATCTGTAGCTTTAAGAGGTGCATTCTCATCCTTATTAAGAAGTAGAAAATTCTCAGGCTTAAGATCTCTATGAATAACTCCCATAGAATGGCAAGTATGCACAATTTGCACAATTGTTCTTAACAATGAAGCTGCTGCACGTTCTGTGTAATGCCCCTTAGCGATAATTCGATCGAAAAGTTCACCTCCAGCACACAACTCCATAACCAAATGCACAGAATGTTTGTCCTCATAAGCTCCTTTTAATTCCACAATATTTGGTTGTCCTGTCAAATGGTGCATTATTTGTACTTCTCTTCTAACATCTTCAATGTCTTCTTTGTTCACTAGTTTTCTTTTTGCTATTGTTTTGCATGCAAATTGTTCTCCTGTTTGTTTGTGTGTACACAAATGTGTTACACCAAATTGTCCCCTACCAAGTTCTTTTCCTATAGTGTATGTTGTTCTAACATCTTCCATTGGTCTGCCTAAAACTGGCCCTATTGGTGATGGTTTTGAAGGTTTTGATGAAGGGCTAGGGGATGTTGTTGTTGTTTGAGGAGGAGGGGTTGTTTTTGTTGGTGTTGTGGAATCAAGATTATGTGTAGATGAAGAATTTTCTCCATTTTTAGGGTTATTGGTTTGTCCATTTTCATTGTTTGTAATTTCATTAGGTTCTTCCCCACTAGAGCAACAATTCCCCATTGTATTAGGGGACAAAGTGCAAAGAAATGAAGATGAAGAGATAGCACAATAATGAGAGAGATTCAGCAACAACACCGACAACAACAATTACGCCTCAATCCCAAACAGCTATAAGATTTAGCAACAACGACAACAACAACTACGACTCAATTCCAAATACAGAAAAATTCAACCACGACAGCAACGACAACAATAGTTACGCCTGAATGTCAAATTTTGGATTCAATGAAATAACACAAGAACAAGAGAGATCGATTTAGCAACAATGACAACAATAATTGCGCTTCAATCCCAAACAACTACAAGATTTAGCAATAACGACAATAATAACTACACCTCAATCTCAAATAAAAAAAAGTTCAACCGCAACAGCAATAATAATAATAATTATGCCTTATTTTCAAGTGGACAGATTGAAGGAGAAGGAAATTAGAATGAATATATATATTAGAACCAAATGAGTGAAAAAGGTGGCAAAATGATGGGGATTGAGAGTGACATGACGATGAAAAGCATGAAAGAAATGAGGATTTGGAGGGGTCAAGAAAAGAAATAATAATTTGTTAAAGAGAGAATATTCATCATAAATTGTATGATTATTTTTTTCCTTCAAGTGCGGGAGGAAGATTAAAGGTAAAGAAAGGGATGATTCCAATATTGGAAACAGGAGGTCATTTCTTAAAGATTGATTGCGAGAGATTGTAGGAGAAAAAATTTCCGTTTTTTTCCCTTTTTAATTTTTTGGATCTCTTTCTTTTTCTTTTTTTAGTTAAATAAATTTGCTAGTAAATTATCGTTGTAGAGAAAAAGAAAATTTGTTTTTCAATAGGGAAGGCTCAGAGTGCTTTTCGAAGCGAGTATACTATTTTTAGTTATTATTGTTAGCTTCTGTTGCAACCTAGAAGTTTACAAAAAAAAGATAATTTATTAACTTTATTATTCTAGTGAATTAAAGTTCAATTATTTTAATGAGTAAAAAAATAATTTAACGACTTACAGTTATAATGAGTAAATTTCAGTAATTATATGTGAAATAATCGATATTGACTGGGCAGCAGGAGTATTAAGTTAAAAAAAAAAAATTATAACTTCAATTTGTAGCTAATATCTAGAAAAGGTAAATATTTGACGGTATTCATTATTAGTCTACATGACTCAAAAATATATGTTTGGGAGACAAATATTCATATGAAGGCGGCTTAACAAAGATTTTTTTTTTAACTTGTATCTAATGTTTACATAATATCAAACAATTTTAAAGTGAAGAATTACGAACTCAAATGAGAACATAAATCATATATCAGTCATGGTTAAGCGATAAAAATATATATGCAAGATATATGTCTTATATTTATATATTAATATTGAATACGAGTAATTTTTTTCATCAACAAAAATATAATTTTATATTGTCAATGTATTTATCCAAATATTTAAATTCGTAGCATGAATTGAGAGGGATGCCACAACTTGCAACAATTATAACTTACACGCATTCGATATTTATATTAATCATACTAATTTATTATGATTAAGTTATAAATTAAGATGAGAAAGTATATTAATTAATAATAATTTAGTAGTAAGAAAATATAAAAATATGTATCATATTTGAGTTAGTATAAACATGAAAGCAAGTAAATTTTTAGCCTCGCACGCCGTATAAGTTTGTCATAGCATACTTCATGTTGCTGATTCCAGTTTGTCTTTATCAATTCTGGATAATCTTATGTTTTTCAGAAATTCCAAACTAGTCTAATTGTGGCGTCACTATTAGAAATGGCTAAATTCCGACAGTCAAATCGATCGTAAATTCATTGAAAATCAAACTTTTTCGATTGAAAATGATCCGTCGAAAAATATATGATCGCAAACAATTTACGATTGAATTGATCGCAAAATAAATAATTTGTGACACGTTGAAGTTTTAAGGATTTGCGATTTGTTAACAAAACACAAGCGAAAAGTATTTCCAACTTTTCTTTTGTAGAGTAAAGATAAAAATTTCTTTGGAACTGTTTTTCATGCTGCCAAACGTAAAAAGGAAGAAACTAACAAACTTAAAAAGACATTAAGTTATTTTTTTTTACATTTTTATTAATCCATAAAAGAATATTTTTCAATTGCCTTCGATGTATGTAATTGAATCGAGTAGATTCATAAGGCTTTTTATTAGTTAAAAGTTGAAACTTCATTTATTTTGATAGAAATTTAATATCTTTATTTCGCCTTCTTTCTTCATTTTACAGACATGGATTTTATCGAATTTATTATAACACTTTTTAAACGAAGGCTAAATTTTTTAACATTTTGAATTTACCTTCTAACTCTGCCTTACCTTCTTTAGACGTGTCTTCGACAACCTAACTGTGGTTTAGTTGCTTTAAAAGCTTTGCAGAGGAAGTTTATTGAAGAGAAAAAAGAAGTATTAAGTTTCATTAATTTATTCTACATATTTGCGGTTCTTAAAATATTATTACCATAGAATTACTTATAGTAAACTTTAAAATCTAAAACAAATAATTAAATTGTGTTTTTCTTAACATTGTATTGCGATGCACGTCCCCACAGTAATTCTCAAATATTATTAACTTCTCAAAGAGACAAAATGAGGGACTAACTAGGAAGGTTCAAATTTATTAGCTAAAAGACAAATATAAGCCCCAAAATAGAAAATTTTTTAAAAAGTTAAAGTGGATGAAGAACTATATGTTTCATGCTCAAATTTTAGTGGAGATAAAAATATTAAATTATTTCTTTTTATTTATTTAAATTTTGATGGACAAAATTATCATTACTTGATAAAAATTAATCAAGGTTCGCAATTATCATTACTTGATAAAACTAATCAAGATTCGCATAAACTAAGCTCCCGTTTGAACAAAAAATGGTGCATGAAGTATTCCGCGTTTACGCAGGGTCCGAAAAAAGGTCGCACTCCAAGGGATAGACAACCTACCTTGATGCAAGCAATAGGTCACTCAAAGACAACTTGTTCGTTATTTCAAGGTTCCTCTTCTCCCGTTTGAACATAGATTTCGGTTATTTTTTTCAAAAAAAGATTAAAAAATTATTTATTCATAAAATTTGATCGGTTTTTGAAAAACAAAATGAATAAATTCTTTTTTAAGTTCTAAAAACTGGTTTGAGCTATTTTTTGGATGAAAATTTTTCTTCCACTAATAAAACTTTAATTTTTTTCAAGTAAAATGCATGTCAAAAATTATTTTTCAATACAATTTCAATTGTTTTTCATATTTCAACTAAATTTATGTTTAAATGCTAGTTAAAGGTGTTATAAAAAATTAAAAAAAGAAAGAAAAAAAGAAAGAGAGAAGAATCCACTCAGACCAAAAAAAGTCAAATTGGCTTTGTAAGAGAGAGAGAGAGAGAGAGAGCTGACAAAGCAGTGAACGTCACACCAACTCATCAATATCCCCATTTTTGTTTGTTGTTTTGCTGAATAAAAACTTCAATTGATTTCACCGATTTACTGAACTCTGAAGAAAAAGGAGAAGAAGAAACCAGAAGCAAAAGAATAAGGGTTGCAAAAACAACAACAGAAGTAAAACACCGAATTTTTTCCCTCCAACTTTGGTTTTTTGTTAAAGTCATTCGTTTATTAAACTGTAAGTCGATTAACTCTCTTTCGCTTCAGTTGCCATGTACTTGCTAGAAGGCTGTCTGTTTTTTTTTTTTTGAGGTGGAAGGTGAAAATATTGTTTTTTTTTTAAAGATTTGATTAGCAAATTTNATTTTTTATGTTAGTATATAATACTCAAAATAATAGCAGACGAATGTATATCTTTTTTATAATTATATATTGTATACATATTACTGGACACGTAGTTTAATAAAAAAAAAGATAGAATACTTTTGAACTTGTGTTGTAAAATGAGGGTTATATATTTTGTATGGCTATAAATTATTGCATAAAAATAAATTGTTTTCAAATATGGAAAATAGTCATTATTTTTGGAACAGACTAAAAAAAAAAAATATGTTCACATAAATTGAAACAGAGCGAGTATTTTTTTTGTATATTTGGCTAGCAGCTGTATTTATTTTTGGCGGACTGACCAAATGTGTTAAAAGCCCTATATTCTATATGAGATGCAAATTATTCTTGATCATATTAGCTCAGAAGTTAAGTCTGTCTAGGATTTGATAACTGTTGAGCAATTTAAATTTTTTTTTTGATGTGAAATTGTATCTCTGATACTTAAAAAAAGGATTTCCTGATTTGTCTGGAAAGAAAAAGTATTGAGTATTGGAATGAAATCGGTCTAAACTGTCGGAGAATAGACATTTTTTTTAATAACGGTGCTATCTGGGCCATATTGCACACTTCGACTATTCCATCGGGTATTGCTACCTCCCATCAGCACAAGTATCTTATGATTGACCACCAATGTTTAGATAGATGAGAAGAAATTAACTCCTAGTGGGGCCCATTACATTGACCGCTAGACTACACCCTTGGGCGCACTATAGGAGAATAGACATAGAGGATTCATATAACCAACTCCGACTATAGGTCGTCGTTTCTATTTTAGATTGTGTACTGCTGCTCAAGCCCTCAAGCTACAGTTGGCAATGTGAAAAAATTTAAAAAAGAAAAAGGAAAAAAAATACAGAAGAGAAAGTAACCTGTGATTTAACTTTTGATGCATGAAATCTAAGGGCCAATGTTAGTGGGGCTGAAGCTTAGTATTAATTAGGAGATAGATGTGCTTTCTCTTTGTTAAAGCTAAATATTCAGAGAATTTCTACATTTCAATACCCGTCATTAATTTTCTCTTATCTGGAGTCGCTACTAGTATACTTTGCAAAGCTCACATAGGTGGAGTTCTTCTGCATTTTGATATGATTGCACAATATCTGTGTACAGTTGTCAACTTAATTTCATCTATATGTATTGACGTCGTGTTCTAATTCGGTGCTTTTACAGAGAGAGTCAATCTAAGTTCCCAGTGATCATCTGCAAAGTTGGTAACACTTCATGATGGCAGATATCAGTCCTAGCACATCAACAGATGCTGATACAGATGATAAAAACTTGAGGGTAAACCAGTTATTTCTGAAATCTGTCTTTACTTTCTTGTCTCATTTATTGTTTTCAAATTTCAGCTATAGCTTTTCTGGACTTAACATAATCTTTTAACTGCATGGTATTTTGGTTGATGATTTTTAGTTATCTTCATTCAAAGTTTGGTTCCTATTTGGAAAATTAAGTAGCTATCTTTTTCAAAGAAATGTAAATAATTTTTATGCTTTTTTTCTTGACAAGTAAATCAAGTTAATATGGATTTTCTCTTCTGTTATATTCTATTATCTCATCTCCCTATGTTCTAAAATGACTTGAAACATGATTTCTTTTCCTGTTTTGCAAAACCAGAACATGTTATCAAAGAATTTCAGGAAGAAAAGAGGAACACTTGGGAAAAAAAGAGCAATCCTGTTTCTAATTTTAAGTACACAGATATTGGAAAAGAATACACAAATTTGATTTCAAGCTGGCAAATTACTCCATAACTTTCCAGAATCTTGCTGTACCATACTAGTTTGTACTTCATTCTTAATGAAATTGATATTCATCATTCTTGGCGCAGTTTCTAAACTCTCAACCAGTGGCCAGTGTGACTTCTGATGGAAGTGACAAACCAAGAGATCAAAAGGTTCCAACCATTCCATTATGCACATTTATAGTTTGATAAAAAAACATGGTTGGAAAAGAAAAAGTATCCTACTGATGTTGAACTTTTCTTGTGCAGACGCTTCGCAGGCTTGCTCAGAATCGTGAAGCTGCACGAAAGAGTCGTCTAAGGAAAAAGGTAAATCCTCTTACAGTTGCATTGCTCTCATCCTTTTGTAATTAAGATTTGATCTGCAAATAAGTTACTCCAAAGTTTTCTTCTTTTCTATTAGAAGTATATTTATTCGCATTTCAAAAGGCACCAAAGTATATGAGAAAATAATTACGGGTCTTGCCGTGTAACACCCCACTTGTGGGAAACTACTGGGTTTGTTGTTGCTGCCGTGTAACACCCCAAAATTACAAAACTAATATTTGCATTTTCAATTGACCATATCTTTATAGTGAGGATAAATTTTACTTCAAACTTAATGAACTTGAATTTTCACGTTATTGGAAAGTTGCTTATTTGATTAGCGATAAGATTCCCTATTTTATATTGGATATTGAGCATTAAGTTATAGAAATAATCTTATTAGAGTCAAGTTATAAAGTATTTTGTGGTAAGGATATGAGGACGTCATGGTGTAGTTATGTAGAATACTCTTACTATTCTTTTCTTAAATTAATTATGAAATGGAATAGTTATTTTAGTATTTTGGGCAGCCACCCTTTTATGTTTATCCAAGATGATATATATCACCTTTTTGTGTCATAATCCTTTTCACCTCCTTTCATTTCTTTCCCTCTTGCTAAAGAACTCCTAAAAAGCAAACCCCAACCCTCTTTTCTTTCTTATCAAAATCCAGTAATCTTACATGAAAACTATGAAATTCTCTCGCTAAATCAACCAGCTAGACTTGTTTTTTCTTGAACCTCAAGTTACTTCTCTCTTTTATGGTAAGTTAACCAAACCCGTTTTTACACTGCACATATTTTGGTACTTTTAGCAAATCTCCTTATGTAAAACTCCAATTTAAGTGACTCAAAGTGATATGGAAAGATAACCGAAGCCAAAAAAGCAGTTAAACTCTAGGTAGTAATAGCAATCTATGAATAAAAGGATATCATACTAATACTAATGCTAGCAAACTGAGTAAGCCATTCTATTTCATAATTTATTTAAGAAAATAATAGTAAGAGTATTCTACATAGCTACACCATGACGTCCCAATATCTGTATCACAAAATACTTTATAACTTGAATCTAATAAGATAATTTCTATAACTTAATGCCCAATACCCGATATAAAATAGGGATTCTTATCGCTAGTCAATAAGCAACTTTCCAATAACGTGAAAATTCAAGTTCAAGAAGTGTGAAGTACAATTTATCCTCACTATAAAGATATGGTCAATTGAAAATGCACATATTAGTTTAGTAATTTTGGGGTGTTACATACAACAGTAAAAATTGATAAACATTTTAGTGTTTTAGTCACTTCGGATCTACACCGGTGTAATAAAACAGCAAAACATTGCTTCGAAATAGCGCTCTTGTTTCATTTCCACACCCAAAATTTATCCCAATTCATTTCGTTCTCAACCAAAGCATTAGCAACATGAGTCTGAACGTATTTTCATCATTCCCTTGCGGTGAAACACATCCATAATCATACCATCTCATAAGTATGCATGTCCTTCCTAGTAATAGTACTAACAAGTGATGCATACAAGTAAATAATGGGACGGGGCATCACACTTTGCTTATATTTTGTTTTGTTTTTGACCAAGTCTACATTGATTTCAAAAGACAGAACATCTTTTGAGACAACTTCGCTTCATATGATTTTAGGTCTATTTTATTCGTTTAGCACCTTGTAATCATTGCACTAGTGGAACGGTATTTGCATCTGCGTAGAACACAATCAAACTATCTTAGGCGCCTTTTCTCTTATTATCCAGTATTTGTTGTACTTGTACCTTCTGTTTGGATGTGATCATTGTACTGCCGTCTTTACATTCTCTTTTTCGTAACTGATCTTGTGGATATATCGGACCTTAAAGGTGCAGCTTTCATTGTGATATAGCATTGCTGGTCTTACAAACATTCTGTAGTACTTTATCTTTCACTTTGTTATGCATCTTCCTACCTTATCCATTTCACATCTTTATCCATCATGCCGTTCCCTTGCATGGTTGAGCCTATACATCTGAACTGTCACCAAAATTCTGTCTAACTTCGCTCCTCTGTCATTCTTACGGGGTTTAAAGTTGCAGGGCATATACTTTTACTTTCACTTACACCAAGTATTTGCTATGTTTGGTTTTTTGGTGGTCTAGGCATATGTTCAACAGTTAGAGAGTAGTAGAATGAAGCTGACACAGCTAGAGCAGGAGCTTCAGCGAGCTCGGCAACAGGTTTGTTCGGCGCAATTATTTTTCCTCATTTATTTCGTCTTGCTCTAGAACTACTAGTAACCTATGTAGTTGTTGGCTAGTATCATTTAAAGATGATAAACATTTTTGATAAGCTTTGTTCTTCATCTGCAGGGCATATTTATTTCAAGTTCAGGAGATCAATCACAGTCAAAGACTGGAAATGGTAAGCTTATTTGCTTTGCAAAATGGTGAAAAAACTCCAACTTTTCAAACAGTTGCTACTTCCAAGCCTGAGATGGTTTGGCCAACATAAACCTTCAACCGGTTCGCTGGTGCAACACTATAATAATTGAAGATGGTAAAAAGGATGACATACCTTAGAATTGATGTGGACATAACTAAGAGAAGAACCCAGTGGAAGCACAGAATCTATATAGGCGATATAACTAGTTGGGATTAAGGTGTAGTTGCTGTTACACTTGCATTAAATCCAATATTTGCCGGGAACCTTGTTAGTTTGGTAGAGACTTCTCTGTAGGTGTAGGGATAAGTGTGAAAAATGGTGTCTTCTGTTTTATAGTACCCTAATTTTCTTTGAAAGACATTATTTTTCCAATATTGGAATGAAATTGTGCGAAGTGGGATCATATTAACAGATCCAAACTACTCTGTGATTAATGGAATGCCCTTTTGGTTCTTTGCTTTTGATCAATATATTTGGACTGTAATTGATTTTGTATGTATCTAGTTTACATTTTGGGTTCCGAGAAAGTAAGTAATATTAACATTTGCTATTTTAGGAGCTTTGGCGTTTGATGTAGAATATGCACGATGGCTGGAAGAGCACAACCGGCGTATTACTGAGCTTAGGGGAGCTGTAAGTTCTCATGCTGGTGATGGCGAACTGCGTATAATCGTGGATGGCATCTTGGCGCACTATGATGACATATTCAGGATTAAAGGTGATGCTGCAAAGGCTGATGTTTTTCATATATTGTCAGGCATGTGGAAAACTCCTGCAGAAAGATGCTTCTTGTGGTTGGGTGGATTCCGTTCATCAGAACTTCTCAAGGTGAGAGCCTTTTTCTTCCATTCCAAGAAGTGACAGCACTGCTTGAGAAATCCCAACCCCGGCCTCCCCAATGGAATTAAGGAAAGAAAAAAAAAAGGGAATGGGTTTAGATGTTCAGGACAATTGGTGGTTATCCACATTCAAAAAGGAGTTCACCAATATTGAGGTGATTTCTTTTAGAATTCAACGTGGTAAGTCAGCTTAATCTTTCATATGAAAATCTTACTATTGTGTACCTTCACTATGAATAATAAAGGACAAATCTTTCTATCTTTCTCATAAAATAATACTCCTTCTGTCTCAAAAAGGACAACACTTTTCGTATTTCGAGAGTCTNACACTGCTCGAGAAACCCCAACCCCCGCCTCCCCAATGGAATTAAGGAAAGAAAAAAAAACCGGAATGGGTTTAGATACAACAACAACCCAGTAATACTCCCACTAGTGGGGTCTGGGGAAGGTAGAGTGTACGCAGACCTTACCCCTACCCCGGAGAGGTTGTTTCCGGGAGACCTTCGGCTCAGAGACAAAAGATCTGTAATAATAACAGAAACCAGACAAATAATATCAGCACCTTAAGAGACAACAAATAAGTGGAAGGACAGTAACTACGGTAATAATAAAAATTGAAAATAAAAATAAAAATAATGTGATGAAACAAAAACCGCTAGCAGTCCTAGACAAAACACTATCAGACTAGCCGGAACAACGAGGAAAAAACGCTCAACTACCCCCTAACCTACAACCCTAATGCTCGACCTCCACACCTCCCTATCCAGGGCCATGTCCTCGGAAATCTGAAGCTGCGCCATGTCCTGCCTGATCACCTCGCCCCAATACTTCTTAGGTTGCCCTCTACCTCTTCTCGTACCTGTCAAAGCCAACCGTTCACGGAAATCTGAAGCTGCGCCATGTCCTCGGAATGGGTTTAGATGTTTAGGACAATTGGTGGTTATCCACATTCAAAAAAGAGTTCACCAATATTGAGGTGATTTCTTTTAGAATTCAACGTGGTAAGTCAGCTTAATCTTTCATATGAAAATCTTACTATTGTGTACCTTCACTATGAATAATAAAGGACAAATTTTTCTACCTTTCTCATAAAATAATACTCCTTCTGTCCCAAAAGGCCGATACTTTTCGTATTTCGAGAGTATAACGAGTTGTTCTTTGTCCACGACTTTTTTATACGCCTTTTAGATATTTTGAATTGTTAATTATTGTGACATAGTACTTGTAGTTTCCAAATATGTAAATTTTATTTCGAAAAACTTCAAGATTCTATGTCCGAATTTGTGGTCAAACTTAAGAAGTTTGACTCTCGAAATCCAATGAGTATCATTCTTTTTGGGATGGAGGGAGTAATAATAATAAAGGACAAGTCGACTTCTGACCTTAGTTACAACCACTTTCTTGATGAAGGACTTGTCTATACTTATCTAGACAGAAGTTCTTGGTTTTAGACCGGATAACTCCTGAATTTCTATGTTCTCGTGATAATCTTTGCTTTAGTTATACCTCTTCCTCCACTGTTATTTTCTCTCTTATTTTGGTTACAATTCATTTTTATTACTCTTAGCTTTAGATGTCTAAAATCTTTGCTTGCTCCCTTTATTTCTCTTTCCAAGGGCTGGAGGTGTTTAAAAGGCAGGATTATTTTGTGCTTCCTTTGCTCTCATTAACTCAATACCTCCTGCTAGTTTTTAATTGGGATAATTTCATTTTTGGGCCGCCTAAAAAATAATAGCCGGCAAATATATATGTTTTGTATATTAAGTATAAATATACTTTAATATACATAAATATACATAATTATGCATATGATATACATAAATATACATATAATATTATATGTTTTGTATATTTGGGCTACCACCTGTAATTATTTTCGGCCACGGCGCTAAAATGAAAAAACCCCTTTTTAATTTCCTTTTCCATTGTTGCAGCTTCTCATTAATCAGTTAGAGCCTTTAACTGAACAACAGCTGTTAGCAATCAACAACTTGCAAGAGTCATCGCAACAGGCAGAAGATGCTTTATCCCAGGGAATGGAGGCATTACAACAGTCATTGGCTGAGACCTTGGCAGGGTCTCTTGGACCTTCAGGCTCCTCGGGGAATGTTGCCAATTACATGGGTCAAATGGCGATGGCAATGGGGAAGCTGGGAACACTTGAGGGCTTCATTCGCCAGGTGCTTAATGCTTTCCTCGTGTGTATTCATTTGGAAAAAATAGACTTGGTTATCTGATGCTCTCCTAAAAGCCTCAGATTTGTCATTGATATGTCATTGAAAAGTGTCATACTACCTCGGCTCCGTCCAAATTTTTTTTTTTTTAATTGTGATGGTGTTTGATTGGATATCTTCACAAGGTAGGGATAAGTTATGTGTACACACTACACTCCCCAGACCCCACCTGTGAGACTACACTGAGTTTGTTGTTGGTGTTTGATCGGATACAGAGTTTAAGAAAAACAAAAAAATATTGAAACTTGTGGTAAAAAACATGCTATAGACATTTGCGTGGGTATAATATAATCATTAAGGATGAGAAAATTAAAGTTAAAATTATTTCTAAATATAGAAAGGTACCATTCTTTTTGGGATATAATAAAAAGGAAAGCGTGTCACACGTATGTTATAAAATGAGACGGGGAGACTTTCCAGGTTCCTCAAGAGAGATTCATATTTTAAGTCCATTCAAATAAACCTTTTACTGCATCATACTTGTCTATTCCACCCGAAAGGATTCCTGCCAACCAACATCCCTCTTGGACATGATCTGTCACCAAAGTGTCGTATTCTATTTTGTCATTGCTGTTGAATGCGGGAAAAAGCATAAATTTGACATCTCTTCTTGTTGACATTGTAACAAAGAGAATTCAGTTTGTTGTAATCTTGGGAGGAGATGGTGAGAACTAGGGCTGCTTAACGGGCGGATTGGGCGGTTAATTACTCTTAACTGTTTGGCTTAACGGTTATCGGCTTTTAAATGTATTAATCCACTAGCCACCCGATAAGATATCGGGCGGATTGGTAACGGTTTAGCTCTTATCGGGCGGTTATTGGGCGGTTTATCGGCCTAATTCAATCTATATTGCGTTCATTAATTTGTTTGTTGACCGCCTAGCATACAAATTCAGAATAGAAAATTACACATTGAGTCCAAACATACATGTCTGTTAACGCCTACATAAGAATGATGTAGTGTGTCATGTGTTGTAGAGTGAAAAAAGTTGTAGCACAACACTATTGTTCTTCTATTAAACATAGACAACAAGCATTAGCTTTAAAAAAATAAAAGCAGAGGTGAACCATAGACAGCAGCTTAAACAATCTTGTTGTAGGGTGGGAGAATAAGCTAAGNGAGAACTAGTTATGTTTGTCATAATTTAGTAACTAACTTACTCTTGCCATTTCATTTTATATGGCGGTGTTTGATTGGGCACTGAGTTTAAGGAAAACGAGACGTTTGGCACATACTAAAACTCTAAGGCGGACCTATGTTGTCCGGCGAGGGTGCACAAGCACCTGGAGACTTTGAGAAAAACTTGATATATACCCGTAAATATCTTCAAGATGTACACATATACTAGCAGCAGCAAATGCATGAACAAACAATAGCCTCGCACTGGTTAACTGTCTTCAGGGAGTTTCTGAAATATAATACACAGATAAAGATTACGCGCATAAAAATGAAAATATTATAAAGGTAACTATTTAATCTAGAAAAAATATATCAAAATTGAGCTATGTGTTTTCACTAACTTGTCTAATTGATAGGCACACTTGCTAAATCATTTGACATTTCCTTTCCTATTTTTCTTCTAATTTTATTCAATAGAATCAAATGAGAGAGGAAAACTTAATTAATGAACTGAATTAATTTCGGTCTGATTATCGGTTTGGCTGTTTTCTTAAATAAAAAATCTGTTATACCAAAATGATATTTATCACAACTGACTGAATACCCCCGATTATTGGTCTTTATGACGAGAGTGGATTTACATTTAATGAATGATTCACCTACTACCTTCCAATCATAGCATGCCGATAAGGATAAAATGATAAATTTAAAGTTAAAAAAGTTTTTAAATGTAAATCTGTCATTCTTTTGGAATACATTAACAAAAGAAAGAGTGCCATATAAAATGGGATATATGGGGTAATACAAATGCGTTACAAGATACAACTTTGTATGTATAAAAATACTTTAGAAAATACAGAAATATATGTAAAATTATTAAAGGATTAAGTATCGTGCATTTATTATACTAATTGACTACATTTATTATGATAGTAGTGCATGTATTGCCTGACATGACCGTATTTATCATTATAACACCAACCATTACTTGCAAATAAAAACTGGGAATTCTTGTCCTTTAACATGCCCTGTTAAACTCAAGATGGTGAGGACACTTTGCAAATCAAAAACTGGGAATTCGTGTTGGGCATGCAGGAAAGATTATTGTTTGATGACATGGCACTGATGAATGGATGACAGCGTCTCACTGGATGGCACCTGGTGCTGAATGTATTATGAATGTTGCTTGACGACGACCTGGTTTTGGTTGAATAATAACAGGTTGTCGGATGCGACAAGGAGCTGAATTTGAAACATGGTCGTTGGATGCGACAAGGAGCTGAATTTGAAACATGTAGCATAGACTAGTTGACTACATTTGTTATGATAGTAGTGCATGTATTGCCTGACATGACCGTATTTATCATTATAACACCAACCATTACTTGCAAATAAAAACTGGGAATTCTTGTCCTTTAACATGCCCTGTTAAACTCAAGATGGTGAGGACACTTTGCAAATCAAAAACTGGGAATTCTTGTCCTTTAACATGCCCTGTTAAACTCAAGATGGTGAGGACACTTTGCAAATCAAAAACTGGGAATTCGTGTTGGGCATGCAGGAAAGATTATTGTTTGATGACATGGCACTGATGAATGGATGACAGCGTCTCACGGGATGGCACCTGGTGCTGAATGTATTAAGATATGTTGCTTGGCGACGACCTGGTTTTGGTTGAATAATAACAGGTCATTGGATGCGACAAGGAGCTGAATTTGAAACATGTAGCATAGATTAGGTGCTGAGTGGAGAGTAATGTGTCCCTGGACAACGACGTCGCTCTAACTGCAAATGTGTCAATGTACAATGACCTGACCCTAATCAAAAACTGTTGGTAGAGGGAGATGTGGCATTGACTTGATGTTAATTAGAGACACGTGTCACTAGAAAACAACATTGCGCTAATGAAAAGCTGACTGGAAATGTGTTGCTGGATGGTGAAGTGGTGATAACTGACTATTAACTGAAAACATGTTGCTCATGGCGACATGGCACTGACGCGTGCTGCTTGGAAAAATGTAATTTGACTGAAGACGTGTTGTTTGATCGCTACGTGGCGCTGTTGAATCGCTGATTAAAAATGTGCCATCAGACGGCAACATGTCGCTGGACGTTTAGGTGGCAATGACTGGAGACATCTCACTAGATGGTGACATGAGCCTGCCTAGTGTTGTAGCTCTGACAAAATGCTGATAGAAAATGTGTTGCTGGACGACAAAAATTGAGGGACCGAAGTTGCCTGAATGGTGGCCAAAACAAGGAAGAGAGATGTCCAGCATAATAACCATTTCAAAAGAAGGCTGTGGTGTTGTCTGAGCTATCACCGTATATTTACAAAATGAACAACGTAGACCAAAAGGTGACGTAAGGCTGCCCTTGGAGCGCACAAGCACTTTATGTCTTTATAGAGGCTCTGATACATCTCAAATAAGGCCGTAGAGTCTTTGATACCATGTGTAAAATCTTTAGGGAGGAGAAAGAAACGAGAGAATTACTCCCTTCATTCCCTTTTACTAGTTCTCTATTTACGTGGCACTTCTCTTAAGAAATCATTTATTAAGGATTTGTTTTACTAAATTATCCTTGTAAATGGTTATTAAAGTTGTAACTTCAATAAACTTAGGAAGTGAGGATACTTAAAAACAAGGGTAATATTGGAAGAAAAACTCCCTTGATTTGCTAAAACGGACAAGTAGAAGGAAGATTTATTTTTGGTATAAGGAGCTAGTAAAAGGGAACGGAGGGAGGATTTGTGTTTTTAAATTGGTAACTAACTTGATATAAATGAGTTGCAAGATACACCTATTCTTAGATGTGGAATACAAAAATACGACAATATATGTGAAGGTAATAGGATTGAGTGCGGTGCATTCATTGCACCGCTTGATTAGATAGTACATTAATTATGATAGCCGAGCATGGCTATTATTTTTTATTATATGGTGGCGATCTTGACTTTGATGAGGGTTGCATTTATTAACAACAACAACATAACATACCCAATATAATCCCACATAGTGGCGTTTGGAGAGGGTAGTGTGTACGCAGACCTTACCCCTACCTTGTGGAGATGATGGTTGCATTTATTGTACCTTTTAATTGCATTAATTATCTTCTCTCAGTCGAGAAGATTCGGTGTAGTTCCATTAGCATATAGAACCATTTGGACCTTATCATGATAATAACAACTTGAGACCTTTTTGTGATGCCTCATTATCCACCTATCACTACCTTGTGTTAATGGAGGAAATTTCTTGGTGCTTGTTAGGACGTTTATTTCCCAGTTATCATAAGAGCTACTAAAAATCAAGTGACATAGTTGTATGACAGATATGGGGATATAAGATTCAGGATTACATGTATTATTTGAGAGATACATGCTCTATCTGGTGGAAAGTTCTCTTTTTCTTTCTTCTGTTTTTCTCATAGCGATGTCAACTATCTCCATTTCAGGGCCTTGTGGCTCTCTTGTATCATTTATGCAACAATTTGTCTTTAGAGGTTGCATAACTATACTCGTGGAGTTCTTCAGAATAGGTACCTAGTTGTGGTATAGGTGTCTTGTGTTTGTATTTTAAAATATTGTCTGAAGAATTTTCCATCAGACCTTGTTATTTGCACTTCTTTGGGATCATTAATAGCTTGCCGAGAGGCACATAGTGCCTTGGGACTTTATTGAGGGCAAAACTTTCATCCTAGCTTCGTTTTGTCTAAAAACAAATATTGAGCTACTTATTCGTTTCTATCATTTTTTTCCCCTTTTTTTCTTGTATGTTTTGATATTTTGTTTGTCCGCAAATGTGACACCAGGACCGCAAAAGTGATCCTAGACCAGATTGCAAAAGCGAACAGCTGTTCGCAAATGCGATCCCTAGCCCCAAGTTCCCACTTCGCATTTGCGAGCCTGACATTGTAGGAAACAAAGAATGGAGTTGCAGCAACTGTAGTTCTCTCTCTCTCTCTTATAATTGCTTGGCTATGTTCCTTACCTAGAGAAAGGTGTTCCCAAGTTGCTTAAGATATTTAGTCCTTGTGTTTTTTTGCGTATGTTCCGAAGATAGAGAGGATGTATGAGGGGTTTTGGGGCGTCATAAAATTTCAGAACTTCTCGTCCTTTTCCACTCTTGATTTTATAGTGATAAATCAGAGACTGGGCTGTACCAATCGGAAAACTGGTACTCTTATCAGCATGGTGCTAATAGTTATGGTTGAAAAAGTTAAAGACCAGAGGTGAGGTTTGCACTTTGCCGTTTGCAAGCTTTGCTAGTTAGGTTGACAAATATGCTTCCAGAAAGAAGATCTGTTTTTAACATGCCGCAGTGCAGTCGGATTAGATGGTAAATTGCATGCATGAGCTGCCATTCGTACAAATGTTTATCTGCACGTTTTAGTACATGTTGGTGCCATTTAGAAAATATAGTGAACTTCTAGTACTTTTTATTTTTATTTTATTTTGTAAAGTATTAGTTTGAGATGAGCTTAATGGAGCGACTTGGTCAGTGAAAATTCATATAGCCGCCCCAACTTGGTTGGGATTGATCCGTAGTTGTTGTTTTGAGTACATGTTGGAAGTTTTCCCTTGCATACAAAATACTGACCTATAAAGTTTAAATGACAGGCTGATAACCTACGACAACAGACACTGCAGCAAATGCATCGCGTATTGACAACTCGCCAATCAGCTCGTGCTCTTCTTGCCATCAGTGATTATTTTTCTCGACTTCGAGCACTTAGCTCCCTCTGGCTTGCCCGTCCCAGGGAGTAACAAGAACCAACTTTCTTCTAATACTGTTCTGAAAGATTCTTGGTGACATTTGTAAATGAGAACCTCTTTCTGAAAAGCTGCTGGCTTCAAAGGATTTCCACGGTGGCGGGCCGTTACCAATCCCAGCTTAGATTTTGTTGCACTATTTCCGGTCCGTGTTCGAAGGGGAGCCCTGGCGTAACTGGTAAAGTTGTTGTCATGTGACCATGAGGTCACGGGTTCGAGCCGTGGAAACAACCTCTTGCAAAAGTGCAGAATAAGGCTGCGTACGATAGATCTTTGTGGTCCGGCCTTTCCCCGAACCCCGCGCATAGCTGGAGCTTAGTACACCGGGCTGCCCCCTTTTTTTTTTTTAAAAAAAAATTTCCAGTCCATGTTCGTTTGTTGTAATGGTAACTTCATTTCTAGAGTTCTTCAAGCATGTTATAGTTTTCACAATAATTTGGATAGATGTAAATGAGATCATTTAGGAGTAATGTATCTTAGCATATTTTACAGTTAAAGGAAATAGGCAGTGGCTGACTGACTCTCCAATCTCTGTGTTGTTTTGGTCATGTATTTGTCTCTATGGATAACTGTTCATTTACATATAATAATGTGGATCTACTCGACTAGTGGGAAAGAACCTTCGGGATCGTTTGGTACGCCACTAAATTATCCCGGGATTATAATCCTAGGATAATCCATGGATTAATTTATCTCACTCGGGAGGTGGGATAATATAATCTCAAGTTTAATGGGATAAGGTAGGATTTTCTTTATTAACACCAGGATAAATTTTTATCGCCAATTAAACATGGTATAAATTTACTCACACCTTATCCCACCTTGTCCGGGGTACCAAACGACCCCTTCTAGTCGCAAGTGAAGAAGTTGCTGCTAATATTGGTAAACTTCGAAAGTTTTATTTGCCTCCTATGAGGTACCTAATACCCCGTTTGGCCAAGCTGCAAAAATCAGTTTATTTTGAGAAGCGTTTTTTCCAAAAGTGTTTTTTTCAAAAATACTTTTGGTGAGAAGCAGTTTGTGTTGTTTTTCCGCTTTTAGAGAGAAGCTACTTTTTCTGTTTCTTAAAAGTACAAAATACTAGAAATGTATTACATGCATTATTTGTTGAAAGCAAACGATATTAATTAACCACTCTATCCTCTAGACACAAACGACAATTTCATACTTTTTTTTTTTTTACTTAGTGTCCGGTAAAAGGGATTTCATATCTAGGGTTCGAACCCAAGACCTCTAGTTAAGGATGAAGAAGTACTTACCATTCCACCACAATCCTTGTCGGTCAAATCCCTACTTTTGTCACCCTAATTACTCTTCTGGATCTTCTTATCACTTTCTTCATCACCACAATTCGAAAGAAGCAGAAGGAAAGAGAAAAAGAAGAGTAGTGAGAAAGACGATTATGTTTTGGTATAAAAACTTTTTAACCATATATAATTTGCAAAATGATGTGGATATGGTTCATATCAATTCTCACATGCTTTTCCGAGAATAAATATCAAATTATGTGAATTCATTAATTTAATGGGAGTTATTGAAAAGTTCGAGTTAACTATATTGCTTTTTTCCAATATTTGTCACATGCTTTTATATACAAGTAAACCTTTTACGTAATTTTTATCCAAGTTTTCAGAATAAGTAATTATCAATCATTAGGTTGACTCATTAATTAACAAGGTGGTAATCATATTGACTCATTAATTAACAAGGTGGTAATCATGTCAAAGTGCAATTCTATAGGAGCCACCTTCATTTATGGTTAAGAAACCATACATAATGTAGACACCTATTTATTCGATTATTAAAGTTTAGTTCATAACTTATAATTGGTATTCTTCAATACTAAATTAATATAAGTAAAGATAATCTTTATTTACAAGTCACATTTTAGGACTGGCAAGAGTTCATGGAGCAACTTTAGAATAGTGATAAGAAAGAAAAGCAACAAACTTTGGACATCAAGCAAGGAAGATAAGCAATTGCTCTCACAAAAGATGTGAGAGAGACGGATCTCGAATTTAAACTTTATGGATTCTGAATTTTACGACAGCGATCTCAATGTGTTAGTAATAGGATTTTGAATCAAATTTTTGTACATATTTAATGAATTTCTTAACACATATACAGTGTTTGAGCCAAAGCTACTAGATTCTGCCGAACTGGTAAGCTTAAAGCCTACTTCGGTCCCTGCTCCCTACAATGTTAGCTTAGCTACATTCCAACTTCAGGTTAGAGATGGTAAGCAGTGCGGTGCGGTGCCAGTGGCGGAGCCACGTGCACCCAAAGGGTGTCAACCGACTCCCCTTCGTCGGAAAATTACACTATTTAGTTCGGTAATTGCTTTTTAAAATATATATATAAACTATATAATGACACCCCTTGACTTCTTGGTGAGTTTATTTCTTTATATTTTGACTCCCCTTACTGAAAATCCTGGCTCCGCTACTGTGCGGTTGCGGGGCAAACCCGCATAAACCATCTAATACCCCTTAATGAATGTCTTTACATCACAATTCAGTTTCACAAAAACAGATTGTTATATGTCTTAATTTTTGTAAAAATATTTTTTTCAGATCTCTAAGTAGTATTAACGTATTATCTTTGACGAACTATATCATAAAATTATTATTAATATAATAAGCAAATTGTTTATGTTTTCTTTTTACAAAGTGGATTAGCAATTTGTTGAGAAGCAAGTTTTATGGGTCGTATGGTGATCACAAGGAACTCAGAATAAGAAGAAAAATTCTTACACCCGCGTAAACCCGCAACCCGTCCCGCTCCACACCCACCTCGCGCCGCATAGCCTTAAACCCGCACCGTCCGTTTATCATCCCCAGGTCTCAATCTCGAGCTCAACGCCCATTCACACAATGGGATAGAAGATTTAAACTAGAACTTAGAGTTTGAAAATATCAACCCCTAATTTAAACCTGAAAAGAGAATATCTACGACGAAAAACATAACACACGTTAAATCTCCTCTAAAAATTTAACTTTTTGTAGTTTAGAAACATATTTTACTTGCCATATTCAAAAAGTAACTACTATTGGTGGGGTTCAAAGAACATGCAATTGCTATGATCGAAACAACAAAGAGAAAAAAAGTTCAAATGGATTAATTAATTTACTGCAGTACTATGACTACAACAATAATAATAAACAAGTATAATCCTATAAGTAGGATTTTGAGAGAGTAGTGTGTATATAGATCTTACCTTTACCTTGTGAAGATAAAGAAGTTGTTTCTAATATACCATCGTCTCGAAGAGTGTGTGTATATATATAATTGAATTTCCAATTGATCCACTGATGAAGTATCCGAGCAAAGTACTAATAAGGTGAT